TTTCATAAACTGAAACTATTTCAAACGTGTCAGACTACTATCTTCCACTCTTCCAAAAGTTCCAGTTAGCATGGAATCCTCCAGATCAGGGAAGTCTGTTATAGACAACATGGACTAGTGTCTACCCCATATAGTCAAACTGCCTTTGCTCCTCAAACTGACTGAAAAATGGGAGGCTCATCACTAAGGTAAAATCACCTCCACAGGAAAACATGGACAAGCAAACTCTTATCCATTCTTGGCGCAATGAATTTTCTTTTGAAAATGCTCAGATAACTCCTATTAATAAAACTGACTGGCAGTTCTACAGATTGTTTTTAACTCCACACTCCAGTGAATTATCAAGTTTAAAAGGGTAATGTACCATGTAACAGCAAGTTCTTCCCTGCCATATAATCCATTTTCTTAGGTAATAGAAACATAACTTTACGGTAATCCTTGTTTAGCAACCAAAATTGGGATTGGCGCCTCTGTCATTAAGCAAAGGGGGGAAGAAGAAGAAGAAAAAAAAGTGATTTCTGTAGGCAATCTCTCCTGTGCCTGGCCAGTTTTCTTCCCCCCTTGCAGAGTGGAGAGATTGGAGAACAGACTGCAAGAGAGTAAGCAGGCACACAGTGGGGAATACCCCAGACTTGTTTGCTTAGCACTCGAAGCTGCTGATGCCACCACATTGCTTTTGATGTGTATTTCCCACTGTGTGCCTGCTTACTCTCTTGTAATCCCTTCCTCTCCGATCTCTGCTCTGCAAGGGGGAAAAAAAAGAAAAACAACAGGTCAGGCACAGGATAACACATACTGACTATAACAGCAATCATATGACTGAGGGATGTTGTGATGGTCATAACTGTGGGCATTGGTCGTAAAGTTATTTTTTAGTTTATATCTTGCTTTTTTTTACATCAAGGAACTTAAGGAGGCATATTTGGAGTTTCTTGTTAATTTTCCTTATTTGTGAAGATTATCTAGGAAATTATGGTTATACAGTATTACTTCCAAGAGTGGGGGGTGCTGAGCAACAAAAGCAGGAAGCTAGTCTTCTGCTCTTATACTGATTTTGGGCTCCCTTTACTGTTGATCACTGTAAAGGAATTGATACAAGAATACATCAGCCTTTTTGCCTCATCCAGAGCAGCTGATTATAGCCACAGTCAGATCAAGAGATATCACCTTCATGAAGTTTGCTGCATTATGTCCCTAAATTTATCTTGTTTATATCTATGTCATCAAAAATAGGATTCATGTATATGCTCATGATAACAAATGTCCAAGGTAGTATTTTCTAGAGAAAGGCAAAAGCGTTTTTTGTTCATATAAATAAGGCTTGCAAAGATTTGCCTTAAGCAACACTGGGAACAAGCTACTTTTGCTTTTGAGTTCAAGAGTTCTTTTTTGCCTGCTGAAAGAGAAAACAAATCTACTACAGGATTGTTAGTAGAGACAATTCAAGAGGGTAAAAAGCAGAAAGGCAAGGAAGATAAAGCACATGAATAACAGCTTAAGCTATTCACAATGGATTATAGTGTAGTAATACTCTCCCTATTGTGGGTACTGGGGCCACTGGAGTTTGTTTTCAGCTTAAACTTTATTATGTATTCCAAGCAGGAGTGCAGCATTTTGCTGCCTTGCTGCTTACAATTCAATAATGCAATCTTCTACCACTTCTCCATTCTTCCCCCAAAAAGTGGACTATACCCCATTAAGTGGGAAGGTGGAAATATACTTTTTTGAACCAGGTAGATTATTTGCAGTCCTGAGAATAAGTACATAAAGCAAACACAACTTATCTACAGCCAGACATCTTTTGGCTAACTGAAGAAATCAAACGGTTGCTGACCAAGTCAGTTCTGGGTGAACTGTTTAAGAGCTTATCTTTTGATAGAAGCTGGCCTTTTGGCACCAGTTTTCTTGTACTATAATTAGGCCCTTAAAAGCAAACACTGAATATTTATCTGCTAAGCTCACAATTATTACATGTTATATTTATGCTCATCCATTACCCTTCTCTTCACTATGGAAAGATAACTTTTTGAAGTTTTTTTCCCTGAATATATGCTGTATTTAGGAAGTAAGTATATACAATCAAACTCTTACTGTTAATATCTGCATCTTTTTATTTTATAAAATGCATATCCCACATTTTAACAATCTCAAAGTGGGCATACAACTAAACATTTGAAAATATATAATTAAATGATTTAATTTCAAAGCAGCTACAATGAGCAATTCAATCAAACCTCTCAAAATATTGAAAAAACAAAGCTTAATCTTATGGAGTTAGGACAGCAATACCATCGAGACAGAATTATGCAGGAGAACTGACTGAACAGGGAAGGAATTTTTATAATCAGCACGAATAATTTAGGGGCTTTTCAAATGACAAATCTACTTTTTTAAGTAAAAAAAAAAGCTTTATTTGCAAATGGTAATTCTTGCTTATTTCCTTATTTGCTTGCCTGATCTACCCCTTGACTTTTGAATCAAAAAAGTTTATTGCAGAAATGTAAATGTATGATCTTGTGTTTAAAAGTGACAAGCCAATTGCTCTATAGTCAGGCTTCATATAAATTACCTAGGCTTAAAATGCATGGCTTCCCTAGGTATTCTTATCTTATGCAGCCCAAAATACTAGATCAGAATGACTTGCTTTTATATTAAAATTGCATAGCTGGTAACTTTTTTGAAATGATTGGTAACTGCAAACAGTTCAAAGGAAAAAAGCATGAAAAAGAGTTCTAAATATCTTGGTATCAATAGAGTCAATGCTTCATGTGCTAGCCCAAAAGAACTCAGAAGTCAACTTGGCACACCCCCATTCTGTTATAATGCTACAAAAGGCATTGGTGAGCTTCTTACTCTATCTTAAGATACAATACGAAAAATCTATGCAGTTTGTACCCTAATTACTGTTCTGTCCTCTGAAAGTAAAAATCATGTTTTTTTTTAAATGTAGATAATTTCCCCCCCCAAATGATTACTCCTACTTCTTATATCTGATTTTTAATGTTTCTCTTTTAACTTTTTTTTTTTAATCTATAGACTGAAAATATTGCGATATCCTAAAAATACTTGCAGGTCATTTTATTAAAGGCAAAGCAAAACAGCTGCATTCAACTGCACTGATGCATTTTTCACAAATGCAAAGGAAATTCTGGGTTGGAAAACTTCCTGCTCACATTCCAAATTCCTGAGGAAGCTGCATCTTTTTTCCTCTTCTTGCATTATGACTCCCTTAGTCATAAGACATGACTTCCAAATAAACCAGTCCAGGGACTGTGGCTAGCCGCCATAATCAGTCCATACTAGTAAGTTACAATGTCATTCAACTATACTGAACATTGCATAACCAGTACCACCTCAATTCCTGTCTACCGTTTTTCAATGCAAGTGTTACTGAGTCTAAAGCAGTAGTAAATAGGAATCCTAAGTATATAAAAAGGAGAAAAGTATGACATCAGAAATGCCAAAATTAAAGCCCAGTGAGACAATACTTTAGCTTTCTAGGACATTATTTTAATAAAATGATCATAATAGAGCAAAGAAACTTCAAAAAGCGATTAGACAAAAATAGCACAATGAATTTATTCATTGTCAAGTTGTTTGTGTTATCAACAGCAAATGTTAAAATATTGTAATGTGATTACTTCCTTCCGATCCCACTCTGAATCACATGTGCATGTACAAACACATTCAGGATAATACTTTACAGACACTGAGAAGTTCATAAATGCCATAATAAAATGATTAACCTCCTGCAAAAATCCATGTCATTTTACAGCAACAGACTAAAATCTCAGCTCTGGAGAAATACTTATTAATCCACAGAACTCAGTTGGGACATACTTTCTTGAAATGCAATTGTACTGACATTTAATGTAAGATTGTGCATGTAACATTTCACTCTGCAGATTTTCGAAGTTTTCCCTTTGGTTTTACTTCTTTTTCTGACCCCTCTGACAATCTACAGATTCAAATGTCATAACCTGCAGTCTGGCCTAGCAAATCAATGCTCTTGCCATCACAAATACGATTTGATTGTGGCATACTATGTTGACTATACAATGAATGGGGTTCACACAATTTGGTTGTGTTGAACTATGGCTGCTATGTACAATAATTCCAAGTGCAAAGTTGAAAAATAAGTGGATTCTGCTGGACAATAACTTCAAATTCCTAAGCCAAGTATACTGAAGTTCTAAATGGGACCCTGACAGTAGGAACTGCTCATCGTATGCTATCAAAACGAATGCTATAAGCAAAAAACACTGATTTATCTTGTGGCCAGGTCTTAATCTGCTTATAGTCCTATGAATTACAAAACCCTGAAGGAAAAATGCGCAATTCCACTCCAGTGAGCCATAAATGTCTCTCAGCCATCTGGCACTCATTCCATCTCCTTCGGCGTGGGGGGGGGGGGTATGTGTGGGAAGTGGGC